ATATAACCGATGTAAAGTAGTAAATGCATTCACGTTTGATTAGTAAGGAAATAGTTGTTTTAACATCTTTTAAAACTGCACCTATCGAACGCTCCAATTTTTCTGCCCCTTTTTTTTTTATTTAATTCCACTGCTGATTTTTCTATCCATGATTGAAATGTCCTCATTTGCTTCAGTGTTGAAGGCTTTTTATGTATATGTTTTTTTCCAGCAGGACTTTTCCTCCTGTAGATGTATAAGAAATTATGCATCAGACAAAAGCCTCATAAACTGACCATTTGTCCTTTGGACACAATAGCCTGCCCAGCCCCTCTGCTCCTCCTCTCCAATTATGTGTGATTAGTCTCAGTGTGTTGTGTCAAGAAGGGGGAGTGTGCTGAGTGCTTATTATCTGTTTAGGTACAAGAAGAGCACATTTAGGTTCTGACTATGAATGGAAAGTGAGCCTTTATCAGGACTAAAATCTAAATGCTACTATCCTAGAAATCGCTTTAAAAAAATACATCCTTTTCTGATAAATTCTGAGAAACACCCTAACAACTAAAGAATTTTGTGGTATAATCAAACTCTCTCTCTTGAATTAGTTTATATTGTGATATATTATGGCCCAAGTGTTTGATAAACATTTGATGTGACTTTTCTTGGCAAAAATGCTACAAAGAAACAGGAGCGATTTCTTATTTTCTTAATGGTTTAATAGACCATTTTAATGACTTTTCAGAAAAACAACCTGGATCATTAAAGAATCCTCTACAGTCTCTTAAACTGCAACACTTTTTAAATGGTGAAAAAAGAGAGAGGCAGGGACCATGACTGAGAGAGGGAGGTACTGGAAGGAAGGAAGTGTAGAGGATCGTGCTGAAATACATTCATTAAAAGAATGGCAGTGATCATTCTTCCATATTTAACAAATTGGGCAGCATGTAAACCACAAGCTCATGAAAGTCCCTTTCTTTTTGCTCTTCTCAAACAAATTTTTTCACTACCGGTTTGCATGTCCTTGTATTCAATACTTTTTATGCTCCATTAGAGCACCTAGATGGATCTCAGAAGGCATAGGTCAAGTCGCAGTTAGATCATACATTTCTTTCTCACAAAAACTTGAATTGCAATGCCAAGTGATGGGCTAACATCACAATAACAGCAATTTATTCCTCTTTTGATAAAAAGCAGCCTATTCTCGGTGTTAGATAAAGACCAGGGGCAATGCAAACCAACCATTTATCCTAGAACTGAGTGGTATGTCTCCCCTAGAGCTGGTATGAGTTTCATGTTCAAACTCTTTTTGGAAGATGCTTGTCTCATAAGAAATCAAAAGCATTTAGGAGTAATTTAAAATTGCTGTGAAGGTGGCTTTAGTTTAATTAGCTTTGTTTTGTTTGTCCCACACAGCAGTGCCTTTGTTTCCTCTAAAACCATGTACAAGGAAATCTTTATAATCAACAAAGGAGTGTGAAAAATGCTGAAATATTACAATTTGTGAACTTTTTGGTTTTGAGAGGGCTTGAATGTCTGCTGTACAATAATCTAATAAAGATTGTCAGTTGCCAAAAATAGAGCCAGTGTCACTGAATTGTGTTTTTAGCTCTAAGAAGAAAACAGTTTTAATCAAATTAGTAGCTGATAATTGCTTTTTATTTCTTTAGTGTCTGTCGCTTGAGTTGAAGGCTTTGCACAGGTGCTGCCATCGCTAAAGTGTGTAATTGATGGCTTGTTTACCAAAGATGTATTTAGGCTTCATCCTACCAACTCACACTGGAGCTCCACAGGCAGTGAAGTTACTCATCTACATAAGTGCTTGCAGGTTTGGTCCATGCAGATATTTTTAGAGATATATAAGCTGTCTTTTTGATTTTTTCTTTTAAAATGGATATTGAAAAGTGACAGATGTAGGATTTACTGTATATGAGGCACTAAGGGTGTTCTTTTTAAGAGAAATCTCTCAGAGTCCCTCATGTTAGTAGGAAATTGTTTCTGAGCTCTGAAATTTTAATTAAAATACAGTGTTTATTAATACATCAAATATCTTTGCTAAGAAAGAAGTTAGGCAGTTTCTCAAATCACGCTTACAAAATGTATCAGAGCCTTTCATGTGATGTGCTTTAACTAGCCTCTGATACTTGCTATATTTTTAATGATATATTTTACTGTATTCTGTAGTAGAATATTGGGCTTAATTACTTTGTGTTTGCAAAGCACTTCAAAGATGAATGACACTGTGCAAGAGTTACGCTGTCTTCACTGAGAATGGAAGTGTTAGGCTGATGCAAGTTTTCCTTCGTATATGTTGGTAGTTTTTAGAGCATCGTTGTGTGTTGCCCCTCTCTCAGAGAAAAAATGGCAGAGAGAAATGAGCTTCTTGTGGACATCCATTCCCCTGAGCACAGCCCTAATGCAGCTGGTGCCACTGGCAGTGAGTTGTGATCTTCAGATTATAAAAGACCAAGAAAAAATCTTCCATTTCCTGCTGTGAAAGCCAGCAAAGGCTTTCTGAAAAATTACAAACTGGTCCTACCTGATAGCATTCTGGAACATTGGGACACATCTTTCCATTTGGGTAATAAATTCAATTTGAAATGAAAAATGTTTTAAGAATGTGAGATGAGGCAGGAGAACTTACTATCCCAGGTACCAGTCCAGCTGCAAAATCCTTATTAGACAAGTCATTCATATTTTGCCTGTGGCTTAATGGCTACATGTTGATGTGAGGAGGGAAGCGGGATTAAAATTGTTCGCCTCATGAAAAGCATCTTTACATCTTGAGCCTGGCTGCATACAGTTTATCAAGTGTTATATCTCCGTTACAACTCTCCTTCACTGTTCCCTGAACAAAAGAGGATGCAGTGGGTGGAGCTTTTGATCCACCTCTTGATATGGGAGGTGGCACAGCTGATTGATAGGGCAGGGAGAAGAGGAAGAAGGCAGCAACACATTGCAAGTCAAACTGAGCAGCGTTTTGTTACCATATTTCACTTGTTCTCCCTAATGCAAGAGAGTAATAACCAGGTCCCTGTGTTTTCACAGAGAAATTTATAAATGCATAGTTTAGCCTGGATTTCTCCTGTGTGGTTTTCTTCTTCTTTAAACCAGTGAATGAACGATGATGTCAAACTGCGAATTCCTTTAGCTCTTGTGAAATGTTTTGAGATGCCAGTGGAAGGTGCTAGGACAGCATATACCGGCAGTTAGAACTGAAATGTTTTCTGTGCAGCATGGTCATCCAGTGTTGTTTCCTCAGAAATAGATAATTTTGATGCTTTCTATCTTTTTATTCACTTTTTAGATTCTCCTCAGTCTGATTAAGGTGGCTTGCCGTGGCTTTGCAGTCACAAATCAGTAACCTAACACTGGTTGTAAGCACACCAGCATCTTTTGAAAATGGTTTTTAGAGCTGATTTTCAATGTTACTCTCATCTGCTGTGCAACAGCACTTACTTAACCCAGCCAAAATGAGGGCACCCTGATGCAAAACACTGTAAAGCTAAAAGAAAGCCAATACATGACTTGGTGAATTAGCATTCAAATGTTTAAGTAAAGAGGAAAAGGGATGACCCCAAATCATGCCCATTCCCCATACAAGAGAACCTGAGGCACAGTGTTGCTGTCTCATTTGCCTTTAGCCATTTAGAAGGCAGCCAGTACGCTCTACAACTGACCCCAAATTTTGTGAGACTAAGCACAGCATGTCCTCTGCAAGATCCATCTCCCTTTTCAACCTGTGGACTCTGTTCAAACAGCTGAATGTAACAAACGTAACTTTTCTTTCCTGTTTTTAAAGTGTTTAGCCTATTATTAAGGCTCCTTGCTTAGTCAGCAGCTGGCTTGCTGCCAAAAAGCCCAGCATATTGTTGTGGCTGTGTAAAAGCTGGATATTTTCCATCTCTGTCCAACAGCGGCATTGGATCTTCATTGTCTTCTTGTGTGTAAAGTGTGGGGAAAGTAGAGGGAAGATGCACAGAGCGGTAGTCCAGATGGCATTCCACAGCCTGAGAAGAAACATCTTGACCCTCGAATCTGGGTTAAACTCAACAGATGCCAAGACCCCCAAAACAAAGAGCTGTTGTGGCTGACAATAGCGGAGGAGCAATAGGCCTACAGTAACAGAAAGTATCTTTTATTTTGGATGCATTTCCCTGCAGATAGCCAGCACAGTGTCGCTTGTAGAACACTGCTTATTAAAAATAAGCGAAAAATAAAAGGTTCTCTGCATTAGGCACCCAATGTCCCCCTGTTGCCCCTGGGCAGTGGGTTGTGCTGGCAGAAGAGGATTTGAACGTGCAGCCGGTGCTGTGCCCCTGGCTATTTTTCCCTGGCTCTGACTTCAATTAATGTACTTTTAAAATGATTAAACATATCATGCTGTGACTTCTAAAATGTCAACAAGCTTCTAAACTTGGGAGACAGGAATGTAATAAAATAGGTAATAGGAGATTCAATAGTTAATAGAGGCCCTGAAGTGTGAGTGTATACAGTAGCTGTATATTGGAAACTGTGCAAATGAAGATGGCGTAGTATTGCAAACTGAGGAAGAAAATTGTTTTTAATTAGCACCTTCATAAGAACTGCTGATTAATACTGTTTGGTTTGGTGAAAAGCTTTCAGCTGAGTAATTTGTACAGCCATTACAACAGTTTTGTTAGACCAGGACTCCTGTTGTTAAACACAAACAGCAGATGATAATGGTGGAAGATGAGTTTGTCATGTAACAATTTACCTTATTGAAAAAAGCTTTATATAAAACCCAATACAGTAGGTACCAGCAGAAATCACATATTTTAAATCCTTTCAAGATTGCAGTGTGTGATGCTGGTGTGTTTTTTCATGGACTAGAAACAGATTTTATATCATTTATAAAATTATATATACAATTTAAAGGTGTTGCAGCATGGACAGACCACTTTACTGGTAATGCTTTACATCAGGACAGTAAAATGCTGGGATATTCAAACACTTCCTAAGTATACAAAGTAGGTCTAAAAATTGAAAGGTAATTAAGTAAT